ATATAGAAAATTCTATACAGTACAAAGGAAAAAATGTTCTAGACCCATGGACCCTTGCTAAAATGAGTGGTGAATAAGCGGGGAATAAAGAGCAACACTTCATTTAGTAATGCTAGTGAACTTGCAATGTGTATACTTATGTGGGGATATAAAATGATTTCTAAAAATGAAATGTGGGCTGCAGATGGAGTTAGTACAGTTTATGGAAGATTTACGGAAGACTACATATGCTACTTCTATGCACTTTTCATAATAATTAAGAAGTATACTTAGAGGTACAGGTTTGAGAAAGACCAGAAGTTCTTTACAAGATTGTTCTTATAAAAGTACACCTGTTTATGAAGTACCTTCAGATATTTTCCTGACACATTTACTCTTCCTCTTTGACATTATGGTTTCTAGAGTTGGTCAGGAGGTGGAATTATCTCAAGACTCAAATCGTACACCTTTCCAAAGGCTGGAAGGAAAAAGGTGCATAACATAGTCTGTAGGCTTTTGACTGAGTAAAAGGACTTACCCACACTCAACTAACTTCATTTATTTTTCTTCTTGGTTTGCTGATACTAAGTGTGAGTTTGAATACTAACAATCTAACTGCATAGATCTAATAGTCTTTTTGCTTCTATTTCTTGTTTCACCTTATCGCAAATCAGATGCACAAATTATCACTTTGATTTATGGAATGGCTGATTCTAATCAAGGGTAATGGTTTGTCTTTCTTTCTATTGTTAAATAATGTATCCCCAAGGCCCAGAAATGTTAGTACTGTAATAAGCATTCTAGAGATACAAACTAAGAGGGCTACTTTAAGAATAATCATTTATGCACTGCAAAATGAAAGCTCTATTATAAAATCTTGTTGGCTCAGGAAACTGGCTTGATTGAGCAGATTAATAGTGAATCCATTTACAGAGAAATTTGCAAATGGCCACAAAATATGTTTCCACAATACTTGTGTGTACAAATTGCATAGTTATATACTGGGTTAGTCCTGCCTTGGCAGGTGCAGAGTTCTGTAAGAATAGATGGACAGAAGAAGAGGATAAAGCAGGAAGTGCAGGGGGACTCAATCATTCATTAACAAGAAATGTGGCTGCGTGGTCAATAAGTTACTGCCACTATCATATTTGTAGTTGCAAAGGATCAAGCATTTAACTAGGAGATTCATTTGCATGTTAAGAATAATACTTATGTCCTTTTTCCACCCCTTTTTGCCCCTCATTATTTTTCATCCCATGGTCTTCAGCATAGCAAAGCAGGCACAAAACATGTCTCCTACTTCATATAGCAAACTGTACTTCATGTTTATCTTATTTGAAAATACATATAAATAATAGTACTTTCTTCCATAACCTTGGTTTACTATCATGCTAACATACCAGGAGTCTTTGCTGTATACTGTGCACAATGCAAGGACTTTCCAGATCAGTTTGCATGCTCTGTTTACATGCACGCATGGTTGTTTGAATAAACACAATGCATGTTTACCCATTGTAAAACCCAGCTGAAAAAAATGTCTTTAGTGTCGCATATTGGAAGGTTATGTTTTTTGTTTGGAGCTCTTTTTAGTTTGTTTGAGGAGTGGAGTGAATGGTTCTTTAATATGCTGCTGTTGGTAATATAGGTTCTGTGGGTTAGACATAGATGGAAAAAAATAGTTTAGTCACTGCTATTCTCTGATCAACTACTTAAAAGCCCATACTATTCTGCAGCCAATTTCTACAATGAAAATATTTTTGCAGAGTATACACAGTGGGGGGGCGTATTTGTGAGGAAAACTTAGTACTGTTAGGCAACTAGAGACAGTTTCTGAAACCCAGTTGGATAACTCTTTGCACATATTTATCTCAGCCGCAACACAAGTTTCATCACAGTGCAAAATTACATACCATATTAAAAAATTAAGATCAAAACAGTCAACTTTTGCCCAGGGTTAAAGCAAACTTGAAAATTCCAGTTAGACATGGTTAATTAGGATAATTAATATTTTCCCTCAATTGCAACTAACAATTCTAAACAGTAAAGAGAAAGCAAAGGTTCTTGCTGCACTTTCTTGGCAAGTGTACCATATTTTCAAAGTTTAAAGATTGGTCATCTATATTTTATTTTAATATCAAATCTAAATGTTTTGGTACTTTATTCAGTGGCTCAAAATTAGCTGTTCGTATATTCCATTAGAGAAAGGAAGTCCAATTTAAATGGTAAAAAAGAAAAATTAAATCAACTAGTGCCATCTAGTGGGGGATGTCATGTCTTAGACAAAGCTCAGTGGTTTCTACATAGGAAAGCCTATATCATAGCACACTAGATTATAGTTATGAATAATAGTGATTGAAAAAATTGGACATTTGCATTTTTTACAAATTGGAAAATTTTTACAAATTTAAAGAAATCACATTTACTGCATTAGTTGCCTGAGTGACAGTCTGAGTGCCTGAGTGATACAGTACGTTAAAAATGCAAAAGAAGAAAAAACTTAGCTCTTTTCTAATCAATAAGAAGTTAGAGGTAAGTACTTTAATTTTAATTTATTATTTTAAACACCCAGTAAAATGATACCTAATTCTGAATGCAGGACTTGACACTACTGTCAAGGTACTTGTATTTATAAGTACTACCTTGCTGAAGAATTTATTAGTTTTCTGCAGCCTAATAGGGCTGTATGTATGGACACTGGATGGATTTACACAAGATACTACATCACATGTACAGCTTTTCTGTAAATAATAACACCTTTCTTGGACTAGCTTGTTGCTATGGCGACATAGCATTGGCGGGCATGAATTGTGATGCCGACACTACTGTGCAATAGCAATGAGCTACTTGCACAGTAGGGTCAAAAACGACCCATGCACTGCCAGGACTGTGCAGGAACTGAATGACTGTGCAATTGGGGGCAAGTGTAGACATTTACTGTTGAGCTAATTAGGCAACTCCACAGTAAACATCTCGTGTAGATGTGCCCACTGTAACAGAAATACTTGCCCAGTCCCTACTCAGTCCTTACTCAGGTTTTATTCAGGTAATAATCTAGCTCCGATTGAGCAGGAACTAGAGAATTGAAACTACTTTCCCTAAAGTGGAGGACGGAAATTATATTTAGTCTGCTTGTGTTATTACCCAGCACACAGTGCATACAACAATATTCACTTTCTTAATATACCTCCAGAAAGCTTTTCTTGCTGCAGGGGGTAACGTTCTGATCTGTACTAAAGAGCATCAACTTAAAAAAAGAAAAACAAAAAAATCAAAAGCTAGGTCCCTCAGTAAGCAATGAGTAAAAGTCTAAGAAAGGTGTTATTATTTACAGAAAAGCTGTACATGTATTGCACTTGTTATATACTTTACATATATATGTTGCCTCATGTGCTACTTCATTTTTGTGCTTGGTGATTAAACCAGAAATGTGCTTTGTGAAAGCACTGCATTTCCAGATTAGCTACATAGACTGAAAAGAAAGATTTTTTTAAATCGTTTATCAAATTATAGCTGCAGATTATAACTCAGACAACAAGCCTAAGGAAGAGTTGGTACTGAACACTAAACTGCTTAACCTGACTTTAGAGGTCAGATTAAAGAGAAGGGGAAGTGTTGGAACTCTATTAACATTCCACATGCTAATCTAGATTCGTTTAGTAGTATTGACATACAACTAGTCATCATGTATTTTAGCATGAATTCCTTCCTAGAGGAATGGTAATGTGACAGGTGTGTTCCTTCAGCATCTGTCCACTGGTGACCCCGCCCACCTGTTATGGGACAACCGCCTGCCTTCTCACCTGCTATGCCTTGTTGTTAATTGCCTAATTAGAAGATGTTAATTAAGTGGGAGGCTGCCCTGATGCAAGGGGGCGCTGTGTGCGGCTCCTTTCCTCCCCTACACCACAGCCCCAAGCCTCACAGATGGTACTCACATCATTTAGTCTGGGCTTTACTCTACCCTGGCCCCCTCGTCCTCCCTGGGCTCTCCATGGCCCTGGTTCACTGGGTGCCTCACTGGGCATATGTCAGTGCTGCCCCCCCCCACTCCAGGGCTGGGGCCTCCACATGGCCATGGCTCCCCTATGAGGCCTCCTCCAACCCCTGATAGCCTCACCCAAACCTCCGGGTCTAAACGACAAACACAAAACACAAGCCCCTGGGCTGTAACATAAAATCTAAGCCGTCCAGCTAAACATCATTCAGTCCGTACCAGGGAAGTCTCCACCCCATAACTGCAATCAGGAGCTGCTCGCGCAATCAGGCTTCTCGCCTCTGTTAGCTGCTAGCAGGGAACTGCCAGCTTGGCCCCGGCCCTGGGGGTTTAAATGTGAACCAGGCCCTGCCCCTTCCAGTCAGCTGACCACTGGCAGGTGTGGGTCACTAGCTAACTTTGGTTGCCCTGGCAACCGGCAGCTGGGGCTCCCCACTCACTGCTAGGGCTCTTTCCTAGCAGTTTCCCCTTTCTAAAAGGAGGAGGGCACCTAAGTGCTCTGTGACAGGTGACAATTCACATCTGCTCAAAGCTGTTAGTCACTATCTTAACATGGTAGATTCAGAAAAGAGAGGTAGTTAGCTGTGTTAGTCTGAGGCACTTATGGTGCAAATCAACCCTACCTTCTGCCTGACTTCAGGCTAACATAGCGAACCACCTCTGCTCATTGATAGCACCTCACTCAGTTGAATGAAATAGAGTGCAGTCAGTCTACTCAAGGTTCAGTAAAACCACCATATACCAGTTCATGTTCCTAAAGTTTCCTCTCAACTTTGTCATTTATTATTTAAAAATTGAAGTGACTGGAAAAGCAATACTGTTCCTTTCCAGTCCTTTTGCCCTATTCTTGAAGTACAAGGAAGATGGAAAATCACCGTATCTCCCCACTTAAGCATTTGCTTCTCCTCTTCTCCAGCATGCAAACCTGTCAGTGGCATCACCCAGGCAGCACTGGATACCAGCCATTTCCTGTTTAGTTGTTAGTCTCTAGCAATTCATAAGAACCAAGCATACTTTGACAGCCCTAAAATATGTCAGGTCCAGCACAGAATGGAGACCCAGAATTAGGGGCTTCTGGCTAGCTCTTCTGTCTTTTGTTGTCTTTAGTCGCAGCAAAGAGTTTGCCATTTATGTTCTTCAGAAATTGTTGGGTTCACCAAGTGCCAGCTCAGTCTGTTCTTTTGTTACCCTAAATATAATGACTGATTGTTACCAATGACAGTAATCTGGTAGAGTGAATGACCTACATAATGTAGCATAGTGGAATTCCTGAATGGTCTTTCATAACTATACCTCTGTAGTTTTGGCTCCAGGATTTCTATCATTATCAAGCCTGTATCTGGTCCATAATTTCAAGCAGCAAGTTCTGGTCTATTAGAAATTCTCAGCTTGTCATTTTTCTTAAGCCCTTTCCAAAAAAGTGCTTGAATCCCATTTTTCCTGAGCTTCTGTTAAGTTGAGAAAAAAATTGGTGTGTAACATTTTTGCTCATCTAAAAGCAGAAAGGTCTGCTGAAGTCATCAAATTCAAATAGCCTGAATTTAGCAGTGGCAATACATCGTTGTTATTTCACAGTAACTGTGAAAGCTCTAGAGATCATTCAGCCACTCATGAAACAACCTAAAATGAGGATATCGTGCTTGTTTATCTGGAAGCTACAGTTATGCCAGTATGGCTTTACATAATCATGACTACAGAAAGGTTTCTCTGCACAGGCTGTCAAAGTAAGTGACAAGGGACATTTCAGGATGTCAGGTTCAGGGATTTTTATGCATGACACAGATGTATGGAGTCCTGAGTGTTTCTGGTGTGACGCTGGGAACTTTTAGCTCCTACAAAATAACTCAATAGCAAATTGAGAACACTTAACAGCCTCACCTGAGAAGTGCAGTTGTTCTAAGACAATTTAATCATGGTCACATTTCTTTTTGTAAATGTTTTATTAGCTGTGCTAAAAGACAGAGATAACCTGCCTATGCGCATCGCCACCTGAGCATGACTTTGCTACTTTCTGCTGAGAGAGGTGGCCCATGTTAGGTACTTCCTCAGTCAGAAGCAGTATAGCCATGTGAATGTATTGTTGCATCTGGACAAAACAGAACGGCCTACAAGCAGTGCTAATTAGTATACCCATGTTAATGCCTCATAGCAGGGGGATTAATGAGCTCTGAGAGGGGGAGCAAATTAGCCCAGGCAGAGTGCCACATTCCTGAAACTCTACTACTTCTGGCTGAGAAAGTACTGTGTGGCTAAATGCCATATGAGAAGCCATATAGATGCATTCATGCAGCAGTAGCAGTGTCATGATGGGTCTTCTCAGCAGATCAGCACAACACTGACTGGTGCTAATCTGGCACCAGTTTTTCAAATTTGGCACTATGTTCCCATTTCAGGGAGTCCTCAGGGACATTGCTGAAAATTCAGGCCAGTTGGTTGCCTTGCAGACTGGATCTGGGTTTTTTCCCTTTGAAATTAGAAACCCAATATCTCTTAGGCATCTCAGAACCCTTAACACCTGCCTTTCCTGTGAGATATGTCACTGCAAAGAGACAGTATCTTTGTGCCTCCTTTTCTGAGCAGTCATCACTTTCTTATTTCTTTCTGTATCCTTTTTATCAGCTAGAATTGCAGCTGCTGTCAATCAACTTGGTTCCACAAAATTCAGTGTAGCTGGCGCTGACTGGCAGCAGTTGCAGCTCTATCTGGTCACTTGTCTCAACACCACGCTCCACCTGTCCTTTGTCTTCCCCAAAGAGAATTAACTCACTGAGGTTGGATGCATAAATTCACTCCCTAGCATTTTAAATGATCCCTTTTTAAAATAAGAATATATTTATGACAGTTTAAAGGAGAGAAAACAGAGCAGCCAGCTAGTCATCCATAATCCTTTCTCAATAGAAATGCTAAATGGATCCTTATTACTGTGATGTAAATGAGGGTGGAGATTTACAGCTTGTCAGCTATTCCCCAGGAACTGCCCATATGCACACTCTTACCCCATGGTAAATGAAAGATGACGTATGGTAATCTCAACCCTGTCTCACAGGGTGCATCTACACGAGACACTACATCACCATAGCATCAGCGGGCACTAACCATGATGCCGCTGCTGTCACCATAGCAATGAGCTACATTGCCTTAGCTCGTTGCAATAACAACATAGGGTTGGAAATGACCCATGCACCACTGGGACTTCACAGCACCAGATGAGCAGTCAGGGTCACATGTAGACATGCCCACTAAGTGTTTATTCCTAAATATCCCACTTACAAGGATGCGAGTTCTGTTGGTGGGGATGTACCTACCGTTCAAAGAGATCTTCACATTACTGCTTTTCTCCCCTCCCCACTCCCCACAGCACAAAACTTGCTAGTTATGTCTCCTAGCCTCTCACTGCTTTGGTCTTCCTTCTACCTCACAAACTGGAGTAGGAGCCAAATACTGTATGTGGATTCCAAATCTGCCGAGGAATTGGGATCAGCTGCTAGCCAGCATACCAGCACAAAGTGCACAGTAGCCCAGAGTATTTGCCAAAAGACCTTTTAGTCTGTTAGCTGATTCCTATCCTTTTTTCCTCAGAACAATAAAATTAGAGCTATTCTACAACATGTGCATCACAAATCATTTTTTTTTTAATGAGAAAACTTCTTCTGTGGCCTAAATTTGTACAGAAATAGTTAACTAGGGGGAAAGTAGATTAAAGAAAAATCCTGAGGTCTTATAGTGCTACACTGAAATAGGATTTAAAAATAATCATGGAAATTTAGCATTCGAAAGATAACTTTTGCAGTGGCATGACCCATTAAAATTAATTCTCTCAGAACAATGGCTTTAAAAATTTGCTGTCACTTTTTATGCTTGTAGCCTGTTTCATTTGGCCTGCATATTTCCTCAAGCAATAACCTGAAGATTGAGATAAGCTTTGTTTGATCTCTTTCTTGCTCTCTCACTCTCACCTACATCTTTCATGCATTCATTATACCATAATCATCTGAAAAAAAAATGCATTTAAAGAACTCATTTATTGACTAAACTGAAAATTTCCATTTGTGTGCTGCAGTTGCACTCATCCATTGCTCACTCAAGTGATGATTCAGCATCTTTTAACCCTTACGTAGGACAGATGACAAAAGGACACTTCGGAGCTGAAAAAGGTAGGCAGAAATATCTCATGCCATGACCAAAATCTCTGCCAAGAATAATCACCACATCTGGATATTAACAGTGTAAAACTTGGCTATGGACAGGTGTTATAATTGTGCTTTTTCTACCAGCACAAAAAACCTAGCATATAGCTGTTCAAGGGGGGTTTCGGGGAAGAGAACTGTCTCTTTTACAATAAAACAAAGGTACTTCTTTCACCTTGGCTTGAACCACTGTATGTTTCTCTTGATGCTGGGATATCCCCAGTATCCCACAGTCCTCGCCAAAAGGGAGAGAGAGCACTGGCTTCCTGACAGCTCCCTTATCAGCAAGCCCTGTGGAGAGCCCTCTGTCACTGCTGGAATGCTCTGAGGGAGTCCCCAAACCATTCAGGCAATGGCACTAATGCCTCTACTGCTGACAGACCCAGGTCACCCCAGGTCTGTGAAAGAGGTGAAGTGCAGGGCACTTGCTTTGGGGTCAGTCCACCTCTGTTGCCAGAGGAGAGGCCAGGCCATGAGGAATGTCCCAATCACCTAATTGGTGGAACCAAGAGGGAGGATAGGAGGGGAGGGCATTCTCCCACAGTTTAAACCATCCCTAGAGTTTAACTGTTCATCTGCTTCCTGCCCCATGCACCAGTCTAGGAGAATGGCCCCTTAAACCTGTGCTTGCAGCAGGAAGCATTTTCCCAGCATTGGAACCAGTCAGCTGAGTTGCGGGACTGGGTGGGGTGGAGGGCTGCATTCTGTGGTTCATTCTATCCTGGGGCTCCACTTTACATGTAGTAATTAAATATCCGTTAGGCCAGGGGAAATCAGAGCACAAGAGTAAGCTTGGCTTTATATCTTTGCAGTGCACTCACTTGGGATAAGCTATAGTATGATAGAAAGGAAAATAATTTGACTGAAAGATTAAATGTATTGCCATTTCTTTCCCCCAATTTGAGGACTGCTGTGCATCTGTGTAAGTGTCTGTTGCAGGGCTGTGTATGAATACTTATATACAGCAAAATCAAAGGGGTGGGTAACAATCCTGATTGCTGACACTGTGAACATAGTACATGTGAAGACAAACTGACTTCCAGTAATCCAGTAACTTTTTCAATGGCTGAAATGCAGGTGATCAGAGAGAAGCCTTGCCTATGGACACAGAAGTCTATGAAAGTCCATATGCAGATCCAGAGGAGATAAAGCCGAAAAATGTCTCCCTGGAAAGAAACTTGCTGACTCTGGAGGAAGGAGAAATTGGTTCTGGCAACTTTGGTACAGTAAGGAAAGGGTTCTATAAAATGAAAAAGTAAGTTTTTATTGCCACTGGCTTGCCATCCAATATTGAACATTTTTCAGTATGCATGTTTTGGGGAAATGATAGTTATGCAAGTGTGATAAATGTTTTATGAAGACTTAAATTCACAATTCTCTTTTCCTGAAAATCAAATCAGAATCTCAGTTCATAGGATCATTGGAAAGTAGAGCTGGAAAGGATCTCATAAGGTTATTAGCCCCCTACTCAAGACAGGATCTTCCCTGACTAAGCCATCTCAGCCAAGCGTCTGCCTGAACTGGTCTGAAAGATTTTCTTCAGGAGTTCATACATACCCATTAACCATTGGCAACAGTCCCTTTCCAGCCATTATTTTATCCTGTATAGTGGAAAAGTGACAGTGGTGGCAATACCCTTACTTTCCAGGGGCTGTAGCTCATGGTTTCCTGTAGTTATTTCCTTTCTCCAGACCCACTTCATTTACTGACCCCATCCCAATCTCCAGCTTCCCTGTGAAACTTCAGTGGTGGAAGGGGTCATTGCAGACTCCCTGCAAATGGGTGAATTTCAGCTGAAGTAACTAAAATGAATGTGTTTCATGAGTCTTTCCATGTTCAAGAGGTCAGGGCACCATGAGGCCCTTCTTACCATGTAACATACAGAAGAGATTCTGTATGTATTGACAAAAAGGGAACTTCTCAGTTTTCATAAAAGTGTGGATTGAAATACTGTCAATTGCTCACTGAAACATATGGACAGTATATGTAAGATATACTGCGTTAAAAGTCTTTCTTGATCCTAAGTAAGTCTGTCATATACAGGCTGGTTTTTCTTCCTGCAGTTCACGTTATGTGGTGATGAATGTTTTGGGACCCATGCTGAATGGACTCCTTTTTCCATATTGGCTAATCCACCTCCCTAATTAAAGTTTATGCCTTTTCTCAGACAAGCTCATCTGTTATTCTCTCATTCAATTGTATATGCTCTCATTTCTGGAGACTCAACAGCACCGCCTGCTGTTGCCTCCTCCCAACACCGCCCTATACCAGGCCGTGTGGAAGGATCCTTGGAAGGCAACCGTATGGCTGTTTTCTGCAGTTTCTGCTCCAAAGGACTCCTTTCTTTGCCAACACTTTTTACAATTCCTTTATACACTACAGGCTGCATACTCAATTGAAACACATCCTGGTGATAATGAGGATTTACCCAATATGTTTGCTTTCAGGTTTGTTTTCTGTTTCTGTGATTTCTTCAGTTCTGTCTTCCATTCATTTTTCTTCAGCCCACTGTGAGAGAGAGACATTTTTCTTACTCATATTTCAAGTTTTCTGTTAACTCACCATTTCTAGGCTGTGCAATAAACCTGGAAGTGTCACTGCTGGGTGCATGTAACATTGCAGATCTCTGTGGGTATGGGCATGTTAGAATTGTCTGCTAACTAATTCAGATTTGGATTTTGTTTTGTAGGGGTGCTAAGCTAGTAGCTGTAAAAATTCTTAAGAATGAGAATAGTGATCCAGCCATAAAGGATGAGTTACTGAAAGAAGCAAATGTAATGCAGCAACTAGACAATCCATACATTGTCCGAATGATAGGCATATGTGAAGCTGAGTCCTGGATGTTAGTAATGGAGATGGCAGAACTTGGGCCATTGAATAAATTTTTGCAAAAAAACAGGTAGGTTGGCTTTTATACATTTAATGAGATTTTATCTAAAGAAGTGCATGTGTCTGTCATCTTATTTTAAAAAAATATTTAGTACTGACTAAAACAGGCTCTTTTATTAAAATTAATCTGTAATGTGGAAGATGACTCTTTGTAAGACTCTTCTATCAAATATTTCTGATAAAACGTTTACATTTGAGTAATATATCTATATGCCATTCAATTGACTGAAGCACTCCTTTTACCTGTCCTAATTATGTTTAATAAAATATAAATGAACAAGAGCATCCATATGGTATTAGGAAGGTTATACCATGAATGTGTTCTGTGGCTCCATTAAAAGTCATGAAAATGAACTACTGACCTATTACAAACTCCAATATGATTTCAGACATGTCACGGACAAGAATATAACAGAACTGGTTCATCAGGTCTCCATGGGGATGAAATACTTGGAGGAGAACAATTTTGTACACAGGGATTTGGCTGCAAGGAATGTATTGCTAGTTACCCAACATTATGCCAAAATCAGTGACTTCGGACTTTCCAAAGCTCTTAATGCTGATGAGAATTATTACAAGGTAAGCTTATATAGCACATTAAATTTCAATAGTAAGATGACTTCATGCAGTTATTGGGTGTTGAAGGACAGCTATTCTAGACATAGAAATTCAGAAACATGTTATCTTCAATTATTTTGTTGCTTGCCAGTAGGTAATTAAAAAAAAACAAACCCATACCCAGCCTTATTGAAATACAGTGAGCAGGCCAGGGAAAAAAATCCATAGGCAATTTTTACTTTTTTTCAAAAGGAAACTTTCATTTAAAAAGGAAAAAAAAATCTTAGTTTTCAGTCAGAAAGGTTTTGGTTTTAGTCAAAAGCTAAAAACTTTTTAATTTTTGCTTTCCAGAGAAAGCAGATGTTTTCTAATACAAACTCATCAACACTGAGTGACTCAGATATATTTAATTTTTGTATATTTTGGCCTGTCCTATGGTACTCACTACGTACATCTACACAAGATGTTTACTGCGAAGTAGACTAATTAGCCCCACAGTAAACATCTCAGCATCTACAGGTACAGGGCTATTAGGCTGGAGTCAACTAATAAACTCTGCAGCAGGGTACTCTGCTCCACTCTGCTGTGGAGTAAAAAATTCTTGCGGGCGGTGGAATTTTTAACTCCACAGCAGTGCATGTGTAGACACTGACCCAGCTGGCTGCAGCATGAGAGTACTTCAGTCTGGAGGCTGCCTACCTGGTCAGCATGCCTCAGCCAGCCCCTCTGCAGCACACTGAGCCAAGTCGAAGCAGCCCTGGGCTAGGAGACTGCCCCCTCTGGGTCCCCCGCTGGCTGGGCCCGCTCCAACCTGACTCAATGTGCTGCAGTCCTGGGCACACATTCAAATGGCACTCCCAGGAGCAATAAGCTCTGTTGCAATAAGCACCAGAGTTTATTGCATATGTAGACATGCCCTCTGAAACCAAAACAAAACCCAACACACATTACTGATACAGATTCATGTTGGGAAGGGGTTGAATTAATACATTTTGGCTAACTGATAATAAGGAATTGTTTAGTTCAGTATTATATGAATTATACACCATCTAGTAAAAGTAAATGAAATGACTGTCACAATTAAGATACAGCACTGCTTGGGTGTCATAGAAGACCTTTGTACCCACCACATCTACTGTTATTCTGCATACTACTGAAATTCAATCCATTTTTTGTCCCCGCCTTTCTCCTGCTTTTTTGCCCAGCTCCATCAACTTGTAATTTTAGGTGAGGGCCAGCCTGCCTGAAGGGAAATACATCTGACTGAAAGCATTGAATGTATGAATGCACATTATGCTGACTATTTGGGGAGCACAAATTCTAGAAATTTTTTTTTGTACAAATGTTTTCCAAAAGTGAATTTGTCTCATTTGTAAAGAAGGTGGAGACCAAAAATGAAAGTCAGCAATAGGCACATTCCCTTTCCATACCATAAAGTGCAGTCATGTTCCATTACAATAACTTGACATTGCTGTTGTTATAGTGTTGGTACAGTGTTGTTACATAACTTCAAAAAGGGGAGGAAAGAGGACCCGGGGAACTACAA